CTTTGCCGTGTTTCTCGGCAGCTGGAGCCCTCTATCAACTACAGGCATCAGTTTGCCGTCATTAAGTAACTCTGCAAGTAAAGGAGCTGTAGACTACAGTACGCCTTCAGGTGAGGAACAATTCAAAGAACGTGAATTGGACATTACAGGTTTCATTGCTGTACCCTGTGATAAAAAAAAAAATTGTTGCACAGCTCACACATTAGCCAAAAACGCCCGCGGGTCTTATGCGCATTTCATCTGCGGGTAAAACAAAAGCACGCACGCTGATGTATTTTTTAGGAGGAATGCGGTCGATGTGACCTTAATCTTCTTTGTGCTTAAGGTGGCACATAAGGCTGTTATCAAGGGATGCCAGTGCTGTCTGTCAGATGACCACTGTTTAATCTGGCTGCATGTCTCTCCAGCCTCTGTTATTTCTTTTCAAACTGATCTTCTCCATGTCTTAAAGATTGAAAGTGACATTTACTGGGTTAGAATTCTCTTGTTTGGGGTGTGAAATCTGAATCTCGGCAAATATGAAGAAGAACTTGGGATTTACTCCATGGGCAAATGCCTTCAGTGCACAGGTCATACAATCAGTTGTTGTTGAACCAATTTACTTTTCCTGCTTGAAGCACTTTATTAGCTTGAAACTAGTAAAGTATGTCTGAGTTATCTCTATCGCGTCCCAATAATCAGTGTGCGGGAGGAACGAAAGGAGAGGAAAACGTTTTTCTGACCCACATCTGGGAGTGTGGGTGCTAGTGTGCGGTGTCAGTTCTGTGTGAGAATTCTTGTTACAGTTAGCTGGCTTTATCTGATTGTTGTGTTAACGGAGCTCAATCACGGTTTTTTGATTTGTTTTGGCCACTTACAAATTCACCTTTAAATGAAAGAAAACCTGACAACAGTAGTTTACCAAGAATGATAGAAAAACACCAAAGAGATAATAATAAACCAGAAAGGAACAAGGATGGTCAATGATGGAGAAGATTGACACGGATTACAACCAACAAACTTGAAAGATTTAGCCTTGAAGTTTGAAGATGCACAAACCGTGAGTTAGCTCTTTTAAGAGAACTGTTCAGTATTTCGAGCGTAAGGCTCCTAAAGTTCATTTCTTGAAAATGAGAGCAAGTTGTACGGCATGTGTTAATAAGTTTCTGTTCAGACTCGGCAGTATTGATGTGTTATTTATGTGTGTATCTCCAGTCCGTTCCCGCGTGTTGCTGTCGGTTGTTGAAGATCTGGATTCAGAAGATTTCCTGGACTATGGTCCTGTAGCAAACATCTTTGATGCAGTCGACCACTTGCTGCCTTCAGCACCAACAAAGCACTTAGCAACAGCAGCAGAAAACGACACCAACAAAATCGTCTCCATGGAGACAGTTGCTAGGGAAAACAGAAAAAACGAAAGCCATCTCGTTGCTTCCGCGGCATGAAGTTCTTTCCCTCGCACAANTGCTTTAAGCACTTTATTAGATTGAAACTAGTAAAGTATGTCTAAGTTATCTCTATCGCGTCCCAATAATCAGTGTGCGGGAAGATTTGTTTTCTGCTGACTGAGGAACGAAAGGAGAGGGAAACGTTTTCCTGACCCACAACTGGGAGTGTAGGTGGTAGTGTGCGGTCTCAGTTCTGTGTGAGAACTCTTGTTACACTTAGCTGGATTTATCTGATTGTTGTGTTAACGGAGCCCAATCACGGTTTTTTGATTTGTTTTGGCCACTTACAAATTCACCTTTAAATGGAAGAAAACCTGACAACAATAGTTTACTAAGAATGATAGAAAAACACCAAAGAGATAATAATAAACCATAAAGGAACAAGGATGGTCAATGATGGAGAAGATTGACACGGATTACAACCAACAAACTTGAAAGATTTAGCCTTGACGTTTGAAGATGCACAAACCGTGACTTAGCTCTTGTGAGAGAACTGTTCAATATTTCGAGCCTAAGGCTCATAAAGTTCATTTCTTGAAAATGAGAGTAAGTTGTACGTCATATGTTAATAAGTTTCTATTCAGACTCGGTAGTATTGACGTGTTATTTATGTGTGTATCTCCAGTCCGTTCCCGCGTGTTGCTGTCGGTAGTTGAAGATCTGGATTCAGAAGATTTCCTAGACTATGGTCCTGCAGCAAACATCTTTGATGCAGTCGACCACTTGCTGCCTTCAGTACCAACAAAGCACTTAACAACAGCAGCAGAAAACGACACCAACAAAATCGTCTCCATGGAGACAGTTGCTAGGGAAAACAGAAAAAACGAAAGCCATCTCGTTGCTTCCGCGGCATGAAGTTCTTTCCCTCGCACAAGTTAATATCGATATTAACAATAACCTATGACAGAAGGGTATTTTAGAAGAGTAGAAGGGAGAAAACTTGTAGAAAAAAA